AAAATATATATATATATACCTCTGTGTTTATAGTCAGTACCTCAACGAATTGAACGTCTTTGCCTTGTAATGTGTCTCTTTGGGATAAATGAGCGTAGGTTCATTATTTTTATTGATCTCCTTTTTTTTTCTTTCTAAGAGGTAAAATGTAATTGAACGAAATTAAAACGTCGGCCATTTTTTAAAATCACGGCTCAAACATATAAATCCCTTTCGTTATATATCTTGTAATGGTTGGACCTGGAGATCCTCTGCTGAAAAAAAACAAAACAAAAAACTATTACCCAGTAATAGCAAGCGCAAGGTAAGTATGATTGCTTTGTAGTTGTGGATGTTGAACAATTATTCCCTTATTTCTCGCAAATTGTATGCATTTATTAACGATAATAATTTCTACAAAAATATGTTCAAGAATATAATATATTGTTTGTTTGTTTCGTAGAAACAGTTACGTATTTCCCAACGACACCTGTCAGGGAATTATTAGCTCATCATAATTTTCTCTGGCCACATATGCTTCAAATCAATTATTCTCTTTGATGATAGCTCTCATTTGCTGGTGATATGATCTGTAAGGAAACAGGGAAGTCATGGGCAGTGTTGTAATTGTACTAAAATGAAACTGCACTGTTTTAATCACATAAGAGAACCTTTTGGTCGTCCATTAGCATTCACCAGACTAACTGCACTTTCTCGGTCTAACGTTTTTTACTGACTGGAAGTGGAACGATTATATTGAATCAATTGATGAGTCTGCTTCTAGGAAGATTGATTCACTTCTTCGTTCTGAAAAATTTTTCTTACTAGAATCTATCTTATATATTTATAAGTCTACAACTCGTCTATTCATTGAATATTCCTGTTACATCTGATCTGCTGCTTCTGATATGTATCAAGAGATTATTGACAGACTCAAATAAGAATCTGCAATGTTATCGGTCTTTACCTGGCATCCCAGTTCAGTCATTTTCCACACCGTTGTAACACAGTTCCCTATGGCTTTTTATATTTTCATAGTAATTGTTCTGATGAGATTTACTCTTTGGTATCTCTACTTCAAGAATTTAAGCGCAGTACTAGATTAGAAGCGAGGTCTCATCGTTTTACCCTTGCAAATGATAAGTGTAAGCGTACGTTCTGAGCTAATCATTTATTCCCTCTCTTAACTAGCCTTTGGAAATCTGTTTCGGCGCCTTACTTTCTTGTTAGCAACGGCATTCAAAAATTTATATGCAATATCAACCCTCATCTTCTGTCTCATCTCTCTCTCTTTCTCTTTCTCTCTCTCTTTCTCTCTCTCTCTCTCTCCCTCTCTCTCTCTCTCTCCCCCCTTAACTGCTTCTCAGTTTCTTTTGCTCTTTGTAACCTCTTATGTCTTAGCGGTTTTATCGCCTTCCTTGATGAGAAAAGATAAAAAAAAAGGATTCAACCCTTTGGATCTTGATTGGGACAAGTCACTACATTACAATTTTAGAAGTATTTTAAACATATAGATTCAACTTGAATCTGTTTATGGGGCAAAAAAACCTGCAAGTTATGCCTTTCGGCTTTTTATGAGCACTGCCACTAGTCCGTTCCCGCCACATTTGACTTCAGATGCAACAAAATGTAAACACGTGACAACGATATTTATTCATGGCTAGCAGCATAGCCCGGCGTTGCCCGTGCTTGATTCAAAAATCGTACGACTCATACAGCAATCGCTATCACTGGACTTAAAAGATTTTTGCCCTTCCTTGCCTTTAACGGAGCGCCCTTTGCCATGCTGATGTTGCTACATGCCTTACTTCTTGCCTATCCCACACTGCGAATTTTTTCTAAGCTCTATACTAAACATTAAATCTGTTATGAAAAAAGAACTAAACAAAATGAACACAAAATGATCAGCTTTAAAAAAGGACACTTAACTGGAAAAACTGAATGAACAAAGAATGTTAACAACAAATATTTTTTCACACCCAACCCAGTTCTGCGGAAACAGAATCAACGTTGAGTTTAAGCAAGCGAATGCGCCAATTAGAGTAAAGTGCCATGCAGTTTTAAATTTTTCCCACGTGACGAATGCAGCTATCGATTTTTTTTGCATTCTAGCATGCTAGTTAACATTCGTCTCAGTCAGCTGTTGGCTCTCATACTGGCCAGTAGAATCTTCCTGCCTATTCGTGGCAGCCAGCTATAGGCTCTTACGCTGGCTAGTAGAAAATGGCCGCAAACTACAGGAAAACTGCCTTAGAAGCATGAAAAAATCGATTATTTTCACTATCGATGGGAGTTGGGAAAGGCAAAGTTGGTCTTGGCCTTCCCACTAACTTGGAGCATGCGCATGTAAATTTTGGTGCAAATTCGTCGAAAATTGCGGCCATGCATTCGTTACACACACACACACACACACACACACACACACACACACACACACACACACACACACACACACACACACACACACACACACACATCCTGCCTTTTATAGATAGAGATTTTATATATGAAATATGTCGGCATGCCCAAAAGTCGGGTCGAGGAAGGTTGGTAACCATTTATTTGTTTTTATTTTTAAATTAACTAGTCACAATCACTGGCCCAAACATTCGACAATATGCTATTCAGTAATCAATACATTCTAACTTACATTCTCACAATAGTCACCATAATGCCACAATTTCTCTGTGAAGTTCTAACTAGTATCCATATGAAGAATTCTTTTATTTACAAACAGTTAAATTGGCGTCTGCCATGGGTCAATGCCTTAGTGGATAAATGAATTGGTTTGTGAAGTTTGTGATATAGTGGTTGCGAGTTCAATCCCAGGGTTGCGCAGTTGGTATTGGCGTTCAGTAGAAATGGGCAAGTAAATGATAACAAATAAGAACCAGACGATACTCCTAGACATGAGCAGTTGATCGCGAACAGTCTACCAACGCAGATTTAATAAAGTTTTAGTAAGCTCCCTTCCAGACATGGAAGCTTACATTTTCAAATTGTTTAAGGCACTGTCAATGAAAACTAACCTCCTAAATTAAGAAATACATTTTTATTTTATTTTTTTTTTTTCCTTCTATGCGATTTATTTTAACAGTCAAGGGATGGGGTCTGTAAAATGACGCCGCGATAAACATACGAAAAAAGATTAGGAAAAATTAGTCAGAATTAAAAGTGAAAATACTTCATTACAAAATCTCTGAAAACAACTCCAGGGCACCCACCTCTGAAATTTAACCTCTCGCTACAACTGACTTAACGAAAATATCCGAAGGCATTGAAGATTTGGAAAATGGTTTTCTTCCCTCCGTAATCAACATTTCAAATAACCGGCAAACTGATCTATTTTTATTTTGATATCAATATTTTCCTATTCACCTGTGTAAAATCATATCAAGATGTACTTCTTGTCTAGCCAAATACGCTACGTCAATACTTAGATGGATGACCGTTGCTGTAAGGTTGGGTGTGCGGTGGTGTAATGGATAACGGCTCGATAACTGGAAGTCGAAGAACCGAGTTCCAATTCCAATCAGATTTGTTATATCTGCTTACGCGCAAATACTCTTGTAAAAGATATGAATCCCCCGCGTCTACCCCTGGCTATGGATTAATTAGTAGTTAATTCGAAAGAGACACGATCGCTCAAGCGTGTATGGTTTTTGACTTTTTTTTAAATAAACAGAGATGGTAGTGTAAAATAATGACAGACTATTAATTTTTAGTAAGTTTAGTAATTAATATATATGTAAAATATTATTCGTGGGGCATCACGACATGGTGTAATAGTTTTATATATATATATATATATATATATATATATATATATATATATATATATATATATATATATATATATAATAAGTACATTCTTGCATGAAACAGCCTGTCGCCTCTGAGTGTTCACTTTTATATTTACATACGTTGTATCTCTGATACTGAGCACTTTATCACATAAATATAGTACATTTTAATACTATATTTCTTCATATATCTCTATCTATAAAAGGCAGGATGTGTGTGTGTGTTTGTGTAACGAATGCACGGCCGCAATTTTCGACGGATTTGCACCAAAATTTACATGCACATGCTCCAAGTTAGTGCGAAGACCAAAACCGACTTTACATTTCCCAATTCCCATCGATAGTTTAAAATAATCGATGACTCCCCGCCAAATAAGGCAACAAAGTCACTACGACACAAGAGCTTACTGAATTTTAGAGAATGCGAGAAAAAAAAAACACTATTAAGGAGAGAGAACAAGAAAAGTCCAAGAAGATAACGATTGACGTTGCATTTACGTTTTTGAAGATCAAATTTGACTGGAAAGCAAGAATTTGGAAGAGAGTTTTAAAAGCTGAAGGTCATATAGTTATATCTTGTCATTTCAACTGTAAAATAATGAGACCTTGCCACCAAATTAATATCGAACTAAAATTCACAAAATCTAGGAACCATAGAGGAAAGTTCATCTGAACAATTACCATGAAAGTATTTATGGAAAAGACACAGGTTACGGAGGTGGAAAAAAGACTGAAGCCGAGATGCCAGGTCAGGATAAATAACATTGCAGATTCTTCTTTTGGACTTTATCAAGAATCTCTAAACAGGAGCACCAGAACAGATGAGGCAGCAATATTAAAAACAAGGACGAATGTGTAACGTGTTACTGTGTGACGCTAACGTAGCCTTTATTAAAATACAATTAGTTTTTCTCATAACGCCGGCACATGGATGAAACATGAGAAAATAGAAGTTTTCCAAAATATCTAATATATTTACTATTCCGTTGGATTCTCATTCAACTTTCCTCACATCGATAGATATATAAGAGCAGATATACGATGGAATCATCATTTCATAGTACATGTGATTAGCTCTCAAACCATTTATATTGTATTGAATTCGAATCTCATCTAACTGGCGTGTAATCAGCAGGTAAATATATAATTAAGCTGCGCTCTTTTGTAGCGAGGCGATTATTGTAGCTCGAATTTACTCATAGTAACCATACAGACAAGATGCTCTTTCGGAAGGGCAGCAACCGACGGTGCTTGTTTTGTGATTTGGTCAGGATCGCATTGTTACGGTTTTTTTGGGTATATAACACCTATAACTAGTGAGCGAGTCAGAATGACTTATTTCCCTTTATAGTCGACCAATAGAAGGTTGACCAATCAAAAGCCGTACAACACTGTATTCGTCGTGTATAAAGGCGGACATCTTGTTTCTTCTACCCGAAGGACCAAAGGCGACCAGGAGAAAGATGAACTGCACTCTGCTGTGATATCCACTGCGAACCTAAAGTACGCTTTCCTACTGTCTCCGAAATATTCACTGCCAACCTCTGGATTCTATACTCGAGGACGACCGTCATGAAAATGTCTAACAACACCGATAATCTACAGATCTGGACGATGATACAAACGGTCATGCGGAAACAGAAACGTGACTTCCGCAGGCATGAGAACAAATCTCCTTGCTTCCTGCATGTTTTCATAGGGATTGTAAAAAAAATATGGAATACTGTTCATTCGCAAAAACAAGTCAGGATGATGATAATTTTCGCAAGATAGAAAGAGCGAGAACGAGAGTTGAAAGCGAAAACTCGCGCCAGGTAGATTTGATAGGAGCGCAATTTTTTATTTAATTCGGTGTTTTTTTTTTGTTTTTTTTAATTATATATTTTTTTAATTTTTTTTTCAGACTAACTTCAAAATACCCAGTGAGAAGATAAACGAGAAAAGCAAGAATTAAATTAAAGTCAGAGCGCTTCGTTTACAGTATTGAACTAGTAAAAATTTAATTTTGAACTCTCTTCATCATGAAATCGATTTTTGTATATGTCCTTTTTTATTTGGAAATATTTGCACAGCGATCATAAACGTAATGTATATAAATAAATAAATAAATAAAAACAACTCTATGCAATATCGGGGATCTGAAAAACTCAAGTTCAAAGGCACATAATTTGATATTTCTGGGTACCTCGATCCAAATAAGCTCATCACAACATCACACAAATTTTCATATGAACCGATATATATATATATACACACACACACACACACATATATATATATATATATATATATATATATATATATATATATATATATATATATATATATATATATATATATATATATATATATGAATTTCTTATTGGTAGAAACGTTATTTTAGTTGGTACGCGTGTTTGAGTTGTTATCACTGCTTATTTTATTTTATGAAACAGTGAAATTAATAACAACTAGCCTAAATAGTGTTTAATAAAAAAAGGTTGGGCTTAGCAACTCAAATATGCGTACCAACTAAAATAACGTTTATAATAATACGAAATAATATCGGATGAAAAATTCTTTCAAACATATATATATATCATAAAAAAACGAACTAAAATTCGATTTAAGATTCCATATATATATATATATATATATATATATATATATATATATAAGAAATATAAGAAAAAATTAAAATTCGAAGTATATATGTGTGTGTGTGTGTGTGTATCTATGTTTTTCATCTTAAATTGAATTTTAGTTTGTTTTCTTCTTCATTACACACATTTCACAGGAATTAATCGCATTCCTACAACTTTTTCCGTCTACATTACTGTATAGTGTTTATTCTTCTCTCTCTTTTCTCTCCCCCTCTCTCTCTTTCTCTCTCTCTCTGTCTTTCTCTATCTATATATCTATATCTATATCTATCTATCTATATATATATATATATATATATATATAGTTATTTCAGTAAACGCCCTGTAGATAACAAACAGTATTAACTACATTTACCGGCCTGAATATCCGAGAAATCTCAAAGAAAATATGAATCCTCCGACAGGAATCGCACCTTCCTCTCTAGCTAAATTGCATAGCACGTCAGACTAAATACGGTTACGTGTAGGATACGGGTTCGATTCCTGTCTGCGAAATTTATTAGATATTCAGGCCGATAAATGTAGTTACTATTGTTTATTATAAACAAAGCATTTACTTAAATAACTGTATCTAAAAAAATAACCTTTAAACAAAAATATATTATAATATTTAAAATAATTGTCGGATTTAGTGCATTTTATAATGTCTACAGTGTGTCCCTGTAAATAACATATGTAGGAAGCAAGGGGAAAAAAGTACAATTCAATTCAACCAACAAGGTTTTTATTACATTATTAAAATATTTGGTATATCTTGTTGCACATCAGGAAAAAGTTGTGGGCAAAGTTCATGCTCTTTCCAAAGTTCATACTTTTGTTCTGTTTTTACTCGAATACTTACACCTGTTATAGTCATTATCGGGAACCAAATGCTGTCAGTATAATAGACAAAAGTATTGTTAGCTACATCCAAGCATTCATGGAATGTTATATTTGAAATCTACGTACAGTTATATAGAGAAATCTACGTATAGTTATATAATGTATGTACTTAAGTATGTTGCAAGGATGTAGTCAAATGTAAGCTGAAGAAACTCTAAGCTTTAATGTCGAGGATTGAGAAACTAATACAAAGAGCTGGTTGGATAAGATTTATTTGGGAAGGCTGCAACACATTTGAGCATATGAGAACTAATCATTTCAATAAAGAGTGCGCCTTTAGGAAGGGAGAAATAAAAAAGTCCTAAAGCTCTTAGGACCCCAACACACTGACAGTAATTGTGGAAAAGTCACTCTCTCGTCGCCTAGTTTAGCCAGTCAGCTGAGATCATACCAGAGACATCAGGTGAAAACTCCTGTGATTGCTACCCTACGAGAAAGACCCGCGGGTTATTTGTGCAAGTTTTGTGATAAGGTTTGCAAGTTTTTTGCGGGACTCAAACATCACAAGACTGTACACAGGGAGAGGTAAGTTTCCAATATATTTAGCACAGACAAAGTTTGTTTGCCACGTGTGTAAGTGAGGTTGTAAAAGTGAAGCTGGCCTTAGGAATAACTTACGGGCCCATAGCAGAACGTTAACTCAGGTGTAAATGATGGAAATAATAAAATTCTAAATAAAAAAAAAAAAAACACAAAAAAGCTAAAAAGTGAGGAGATGGTCTTCTTGCAAGGAAGTTAAAATCATGTATGTATGTAGTGATTTTCTAAGCTTAGAGGCCGAAAGTATGGGGCACCCAGTGAGGATCGAACTCACTATTCAATCGTAATTGTTTTTTAGGCTATTATCAGCAAGAAGGCTGTTGATCAGTTAAATAGGAACACCTACTTGAGCGACAAGCAGTACGGATTTCAATCGCCTCGATCCACTGCTGATGTTCTACCATTACTCACAGAACCACGTCAAGCGTATGGATATGCGAATTATTGTTAACACGTGATCATTCGTATGAAAATTACCTTGCACATTTTTATTTAAAGAATTGTGATATTAGCTGATGTGATCAATTTATATTCGATACACAGATATACATACTTTCTTCAGTATACACACACGCACACACCCATATATATATATATATATATATATATATATATATATATATCAAAAGATGAGTATATATATATATATATATATATATATATATATATATATATATATATATATATATATGCAATATTCTTTTATATGAAATTGCGTGCGGGTGTGTTTATGCATAAAAAAATAATCGACTATGTTTAAATATCTTGATGCGAGAGTAGTTAATAGAAGCAATTATGTATGCAAGCATGTTGACATATTCTTGCTTCCAAGATCAAAAGTACCTTGGTTTATTATTAGTACGTTTTCGGTAAATATGAAAAGGCTAACGTAGATATTATCGGCATTTTTTGCCCAAATCCACTCAATAATAGAATATCATTTCGCATTAACTCAGCACTATGCTTAACTTCCTATTTTTTTTTCTTCATTTGCATCAAGGGCTTTTATCTTTCTTTCTGTTTTATTCTTATTATCATTTCATTCTTTTTGTATCTAACCAGCTTTCTATCTATCTTTCTTTCTATCTATCTTTCTTTCTTTTATCTTTTCTTCTTACGTTCTTTCTCTTATCTCTTCTTCGTCTTTTTCTTTATTGGTTTGGCTTTCCTACTTATTGATTTCTTTCTTTATCTTTCTATTCTTTTTTCTAACCGGATTTCTTCTCATCCTCTTTCTTTATTTCTTTTCTTATTAAAGATCTTTTCTCATATTCCTGCTTCTTTACCTTCTTGCGAGCTGCCTTTTTCTCTCTCTGGTACTCACTGGCTTTTTTTCCGTTGTTTGCTCTTCCTTCCTTCCTTCCTTCTTTCCTTCCTTCCTTCCTTCCTTTTCCTTTTCCTTTCCTTTCCCTTTCTTTTCCTTCCTCCTCCCTTTCCTCCTTCCCTTCCTTCCTTCCCCTCCTTTCCTTCCTTCCTTCCTCCTTTTCCTTCCTTCCTTCCTTCCTCCTTTCCTTCCTGCCTTCCTTCCTTCCTTCCTTCCTTTTCCTTCCTTTCTTCCTGCCTTCCTTCCCTGCCTTCCTTCCTTCCTTTCCTTCCTTTCTTCCTTTTCCTTTCCTTTCCCTCCTCCTTCCTTCCTCCTTTCCTTCCTTCCTTCCTTCCCTTTTCTTCCTTCCTCCCTCCTTTCCTTCCTTCCTTCCTTCCCTTCCTTTCCTTCCTTTCCTGCCTTCCTTCCTTCCTTCCTGCCTTTTCCTTCCCTCCTTCCTTTCTTCCTTCCTTCTTTCCCTTCCTTTCCTTCCTTTTCCTTCCTTCCTTCCTTCCTTCCTTCCTCCTTTCCTTCCTTCTTCCTTCCTTTTTCCTTCCGCCCTCCTTCCTTCCTTCCTTTCTTTTCCCTTCCTTCCTTCCTTCCTCCTTCCTTCCTTCCTTCCTTCCTTCCTTCCTCCCTTTCTTTCCCCCCCTTTTCCTTCTTCCTTCCTTCCTGCTTTCCTTCCTTTCCTTCCTGCCTTCCTTCCTTCCCTCCCTTCCTTCCTTCTTCCTTCCGCCCTCCCTTCCTTCCTTCCTCCTTTTCCTTCCTTCCTTACTTTCCCTTCCTTCCTCCCTTTTCTTCCTTCCCCTCCCTCCTTCCCTTCCTTCCTTCCTTCCTTCCTTTTCCTTCCTTCCTTCCTTTTCCTTCCTTCCTTCCTTCCTTCCCTTCCTTCTTCCTTCCTCCTTCCTTTCCTTCCTTCCCCTCCTTCCTTCCTTCCTGCCTTTTCTTCCCTTTCTTTCTTTTCTTTCCCTTTCATTCTTTTCCTTCCTATTTTCCTGCCTTCCTCCCTTCTTTTCCGTCCTTTTCTTCCTTCCTTCCTTCCTTCCTCTTTTCTTCCTCTTTCCTTCCTTCCTCCTCCCTTCCTTTTCTTCCTTTCCTTCCTCCTTCCTGTACTCTTCCTTTGTTTCATTCTTTCTTTTTTTCTTTAAACTTCATTCTTTCTCCTCCTACTTTTCTTCCTTTTTTTGTATCCTTTTCTTTAAACTTCTTTTTCTTTTTTCCTTTTTATTTTCCCTTTTTATCCCTTTTTGACTTTTCTTAATCGCATATTTTCCTCTTTACTTCCTACCCTGATTTCATTTTGGCCCTTATCGTTCATCCTACAAGTTTCTGGTCTTGTCTTTTCTGCTCTTCGATTATGTTTTTGGCTTTTTTCCTCTCTCCACTTCAATCAGCAAGAAAATCATACAAATCTTTAAAAAGACTGTAACGAAAGAAGCAAACGACTTTGATGTTCTCGGAAATGAGAGATACAGATGACAGACGTAATTATTCCGTTCAGATAGATAGATAGATAGATAGATAGATAGATAGATAGATTAGAACATGAAGTAAGATAGATAGATTAGAAGATGAAGATCGATAGATATAGATAGATAGATAGATAGATAGATAGATTAGAACATCGATCGATAGATAGATTAGAAGATGAAGATAGATAGATAGATAGATAGATAGATAGATAGATAGATAATAGATAGATAACATTAGATTAGAACATGAACTAAGATAGATAGATTACAAGATGAAGATAGATAGATAGATAGATAGATTAGAACATTAAGATAATGAATAGATATAGATAGATAGATAGATAGATAGATAACAACATAACATTAGATTAGAACATGAACTAAGATACATAGACAGACAGATAGATAGATTAACACATTAACTAAGATAGATATATAGATAGATCGATAGAGATAGATAGATAGATAGATAGGGAGAGAGAGAGACAGATAGATAAAAACAGACAGACAGATAGATAGATAGATTAACACATTAACTTAGATAGATTAACACATTAACTAAGATAGATAGATAGATAGATAGATAGATAGATAGATAGATACCGTGATTAGTAATATTGGCACTGGTAAACAGACTTCTTTAAACAGCTTATAATTAAACACCTGTAGCCGTTTAATTTAAACTATTTAAAGTTAAATTTCTAATCAAAGGTCAGTTGATGACTGTTTATTTACTTCCGTTTCAGTTCTTAAAATATATTTTAAATAAAATTTAAATTATCTTAAAATGTAACTCAAATAGTACGTATATATCACTAATCAAATGCTGTAATTATTTTTCTGGGTAACACGTCTATAAGATATGCATCCTCAACCCAAGACTAAAACACTTATAATGTATATCCGGGTTAAACCACTAAACTATAATGTATATTTCTCGCCATTCTCGCCTGTGAAATTCTCTTCTGATTTCCTGTCCTCTGCAATCTTAAAAAAATTAAATGAAACGTCAATCGCCATCTTCCTGGTTGTTGAAACTTGTTATTTTATTATCCATTCTATTTAGTAAAATATCATTCTCTTTTTCTTTCTGTTATCCATCGCGTCTTAGTGGCATTATATCCTTGCTAGGCGGGAAATGATAAAAAAAAAAAAAACAGTTGTTTGCAGCGATTGGTTAAATCATTTATCGCGACCTAACAATCTGTTGAAGATATTTCCGTATTTTGATGAGAAATGCATTTCTTGTGCCTATCTAGGAATGGTCATAGGTTGAAAAGTAGAGCGTAAAGCCTTAAAAAGTTCATTAGTAAATCTGCGTAATTCACACGGGTACTATTCGTCATGTTACTGCTATTATATAGCAGTAACGAAACGCTTTGCCCTAGACTATTCGCTCTCTAAATTGATAAGAGGGAGGAAAATAATAAATAAAAAAAAAAGATTTTTGGAAGAAAGATACCTCGGATGGATTTTTCTCCAGACAAGAATAATATGCTTGGCCCGTCTATTTGAAAATTACATGCAGCATATTCATTTGGACATAAACTCTATCTCTTGGGCAATAATTCGTATGCAAGGCGCGTAAATTATTCTCCACTTCAGTTAGCTACATCATAATAATTTGTTTAAATTTGTGTGCGGCGTAAAACAAGGATGTGTCTTCTCACCGGACTTATTCCCGTCCTGGGTAAGACGATAAACTACGTCAAACAAGCAAGGCGTCTGATCAGGAGGTTTTGAGGATCGCGAAACCATCTCTTTATTGCTGGTGTTCCCAGGTCCGCCCTGACTCGGGGTGGTAGCACCTGTTAGGGTCCCATCTATGGGCAAATAGTTAACTCAGAAGTTGGGGTAAGAACATTATGAAAGTGTAAAAAATATGTTTTAATACCAGAAATACGTTGTAAAAAATTATTTCCAGCAATAAATTTTTGAAGAAAAAAAAAATATTACAAGCATTAAATTTTTGAAGGAAAAAATTACCAGCAACACATTTTTGAAGGAAAAATATTACCAGATATGGATTTTTGACAAAACAAAATAGTACCAGCAAAAAGAAAAAAAATGTCGGCATGAGATTGATATGCCGTAAAACAAAACAAACCAAACCGGATTTGTTAAGCGTTTACAGTGATACGTTTCTGAAAATATTAGCAGTCTTATCATTCATTATTGTTGAAAATCTTAACGAGATATGGAAATAACACAGTGTAGATAATAGAAAGGTAACTAAAAAAGCTCCTACTGAAAATAAAGAAAAGTTAGAAGAAAGGACTAAACATTAATTGTAAGAATACAGAGAGTATGGTTGTCAGCAAAAGGGCCAACCCAAGATGCAAACTACAAATTGGCGGCACCATAACAAGCAAATAAAAACATTTAAATATCTACGCAGTTTTTCTGTTACCACAGTACATAAACTGTATCGTTTTACTTCCCTTTGTTCTTCTTGTAATTTAGGTTATTTTTTAGATTGGTCACCGTTTTAACCACTTCCGGTTAGCCCTTATTATATTATCCGGAAACCTTGATAATAAATTCATGACACCAAGTACGTGGTCGCAGCTTCAATGTTACTGTTGAGTGGTTCTCCCCTTTTTTACACAAATGGACTCACCCAGGTTATCCATATACTACTGCTAGTGAATACCCGGGAGAAGAACGAGAAAAAAGGACGAACGAGCGACGAACCAGAATGAACGTAAAGGATCAAGAGTCACAGTGAGCATGCGCGTAGACTCAGTAAGAAGTCATGCAGTGATACATCGATACCAAAGACTGTATATATATATATATTGCTACTAACCCGCATTCCTGGAACTACTAACCTGCATTACCAGTTTGTATTATTACATTAATATATTTATTTTCTTATATTCCTTCTTGGCGTTTGTTATTTATTGGTACCGGATTTCATTCCGGAATCTACAACAGTTACCATCACCGGTTTGTAACTTTTAATACCCTTTTTCTCTATATTTGCCTATTTTATTATCACGTCATTATTTGATGATGTGTTTTATGTAATTATATTTAATAAGTTTATTTTACGTTTGTATATCTCCGTCTAGAATCCATTTAGCACTTTTCCACTCTCCACATATACACTGTTGCAAAATGTATACGTCTTGACACATCCTTTCCCACGAACTCGCCGAAAGATTAGAACTATACCAACATTTATATTTTAAACGAAGTATTCATTACATTCCTTTACCCATTTAGATAAATGGTCTTAGTTTATCTTTAGGCCTCTGGCTGCCTTTATCATGTTACACGTGTTTATTTGGATTTCTAGACTACCTAGTCTTATTCATATGTATTTATTTTTTTTTTTTAGTTATACGCTTTTGGTTATTAATAAAACTGACGATGAACGTGACTTTGCCGTTTGAGTTTTAATTACCTTAAGCCGTTTATCAGGCTGTTTCCGAGATAATGCACGCGTTTGACACAGACGCGTTCTCTCAGGGGCAGAATATTTTAAAAGAAGACGGAAAATGCGACAATGAAATCTGAAATTAGGATAGCAAAAAAAAAAAATGCTATCCGAAAGCTAATCAAAGTATTAAGAAACAGGAAAATTTCGTTAGAAACAAGGAAAAGAGTACTCAACTCTTATGCATGATCGGTCCTCCTATATGGCAACGATGGCGTATTACTGCCATATATGGTCTGGGGCACCTTCTGTTTACCTCGGAGTTCTTGACAAAATCCAGAGACGGATATGTAATATAATTGGCCCTCATCTGGCATCTCGTCTACAGTCACTCTCTCACAGACGCGCCGTCACTTCTCTCTGTCTTTTCTACAAATACTTTCATGGTAATTGCTCCGATGAGCTGTTTCACTGGTTCCCAGACTCCATGAAATCAAGCGCCCCACGAGGCTGGCATAGAAACTTTTAAATGTAGACGTCTCTTCTACTCCAATAGCATCATACCTCGCACCTCTCGCCTGTGGAACACCCTACCCAATTACTGTTTCCCTGAGAGCTATAATCTCCAACTATTAAAATGTAATATCAATCGACATCTCCAGTTACCTTGATCTACCCACTATCCTTCTCCTCATCCTTTCTTCTATCACTCCTATCTGCTCTCGCTCCAAATCTTCTGCAACCCCCTGCATCCTAGTGGCTTCACGCCTTGCTCGGGGCGTAATGCTTAAAAAAAAAAGATGAAAGATGGTTCTGCAGAAAGACGCTGAGAATACCATGGACTGAACATGTGAGCAACGACGAAGTTTTAAGGAAAATGGAAACAAAAAGGACACATACACACAGAATCAGAAATTTCTAAAGATATAATGAGGATTAGGATAATATAATGAAAGTGCTTAGAGAATTTAAAACTCACAGGACATATTAAAGTCAAAAGTGACAGGGGAAAGCAGCGAGTAAGCTACCTAACGAGCTTATGTAAATGTTTGGTAGAACAGGGATTAGAAGAGCTAGGAAAAAGACAAAATTCACTAAGAGCTACAAAGGACAGGATATCGTGAAGGACTATGAGCGTCCGCGTCCTAAAAGGACACGGCACATAGAAGAAGAAGAAGAAGAAGAAGAAGAAGAAGAAGAAGAAGAGGAAGAATTCTGAGCATTAAAACAGTTAAAATTTCTAAGTCACATAACGAGGAAAGAAGGTTTAGAAAATATGACACTAACAGGATAT